TAGTATCCTGAAGATTGCCCGAGTGATAACTTGCTTCCGGGCCGTCCCAACAGAAGCTACGAAGGCAAGCCAACAGCCTTGAATGTAATCACACTTGGGTCGATTTAGCCGTCCAGCCTACTGCGCGTATGGAATCAACCCTTACGGATACAGTAAACCGACGGCCCAGGTAGGATTTTCTAAGCAATCATATCGAATCCACCAGAAGGACTAGTAGGCTCACTTAATTATCAGCAGGGTTTAGCAGGTAAATATTGATAAAATTGAACTCTTACGCAGTTGTAATCAGGAGCAATCCTTTTACCCCTGAATCTGGCTGCGGGACCGCGAAGCACGCGCCAGATGAAGTTAAGTCCCATGTAGAACTAGGTTTTATGTTAAATATTTTGGTTTTAAGGGTGTTCGCTTTGCACTAGCTTTGTTTCGTTTTTGCCAGACTTACTTTGCAGAAGTATCTTACTATTTGGACGGCTTTTACAGCCACTTAGAAGATACGTCACTGCGGACTCAATTGTGATACCCCATATCCATTCCAGTCCAATAAATTCACCAAAACCAGCTTGAAAATTACACCGCGTTAAATGCAGTTTTACCTTAAAATACACGGGAATTCTGAGGACAGACATGAGAAGATAAACTCCGCGTACGGCAGTAAGTTGACACCTCGCTTGTCTTACTATTCACAATAAGCGAGTAGACATATTTTATTACTATTTCAGCTAAACAACGATTGTTTTGTTTTCATCAATTTTCTTAGTTTCCATATATTCCTATCGTCTTATTACCAACAGAGAGTTCAAAGTCGTTCGCCTATCCTTCCCTCAATAAACTGATACTGATGTTTGGTCCTGGGTTTTTAAATAGTGTTTTCACTGTATTATCTGTCTCTGCAGTCCTTAACACCATCGCTGATATTCTCTGGAGCCGTACAGACATGCACGTGTGCTTTTTACTGTCGCCTAAACCGCCTCTGTACACTGTACATTTTAAACCAATAAGCGTACCATGCCTACTGATTAAATGGGAGTAAATATGTAATTTTGCTAATATTAACTTTGCTGTGATTTACCCTTGCCGCCTAGGTGCTTAAACGTCTGGACGAAAATCGCGTGGCTCAGGGAGGTTGGTATCCTCGCTCCATCGGTCTCGCCATCTTTTCATATACGGTCCTCGCCGCTGGTCCCGCCCTGCTCGCTGGCCTAGAACCACCTTGCAAGTGCTGTAAGCCGCTGATCACCGGTGACCTGCCGGAAAATTCTCTACTGCCAACTCTTCAGTTGTTGGAACAGGGCTGCAATCTGAACCAACCGCTGACTACCAAGGGTAGTGGCGATGAGAAAGTGCACCCAATGTCCATTGCGTCGGAAGCTGAACTACATCTTCGCGGTCTTCTCCTCCTGGTCAGACTCACTGAACACGCACGCGTCAGGGTGAGCGATCACCGGACCTTGTCCGCTCTTTTCACCTTAACGATGCAGTCAAACATTTTCCTAATTAGTTGTTTTGCTACCTTTTAATTAACCGATTCCGGATTCCAAGACAATCTATATACTTGATGGTTCCGTGGGATACTTATAGTAATTCAGAAGAAGAAGAAGAAGAAGAAGAAGAAGAGGAGGAAGAAGAAGA